GACTCAAAATAATTGTTTTCAGGTGTGTGTGTGTGTGTGTGTGTGCGTGTGTGTGTGTGTGTAGGGTCTTGAAAGGGTTGGATGTGGGTGGACAGGGGGGTCATAAGCCAGTTCCACACCAAAATGCTGCAAAAATGTGGTGCATGAACAGTCTGCTGTGCCACCAGAATGTGGAGATGGATTAAAAATTAAAATTGTTTGTATCCAAATATTTCTCTCTTTTTCTTCTTCTTCTTCTTCTTCTTCTTCTTCCTCCCAGCCACTAGCATAACAAGAGTAAATCAATCCAATCAATTCCCCTCCACCAATTGTTTGTTGTTGTTTTTTTTTCTTTTTTTCTGCTGACCACACCTCAAGGATTAATATTTGATTAGCCTTTAGGAGAGGTGGAAAGTACTTATTAACCTTATTTGTCAATCTGTCAGTGCCACTGTGTGGATTGTGCCTTGCGGCGGGGGGCGCAGGGGCTGGAAGGGGGGAGGGGATCACTTCAGGGACTATCATGTCTTCCAATGACTGTTCTCCTCCGGATGTTTTATCATAATTATCCATTTTAGGCTGGCGCCACAAGCATGACATCCATTTCAGCATTTTGAATACGTTTGTTAATTGATAATATGATCCGTCGTCCCAGAATAATGTAATGGTATTGAAGTTTTTCTGCTGTTTCCATACACAATTTGGCCAATTATGTCTAATTCTTTTCACACAAATAAGAGGATAGTTTTGTTTTTACCTATTTTACTCATTATGATTGTTTGCAAACAACAAAAAAAGGAGTGTGTTGCCTTTGAGGTCATTTTCATTACAGTCCATGAAGACAAAGCATTTACTCAGTCTGAAATTGATGAGTAAACTTCCACACTGTAAGCAGTCCGTTTTTTCATTAGTAATTTTAATTAAGTCTTCTGCACAACACTGAAATTGACTTTATGTTTAATTGTTCATTATACGTCTTGTTTTCCTACAATGGGGAAATTAAGGCGCCTCAAATGGATGAATCCGAGACATGATTAGTCTTGTTCATCCCAAATGTGTAATTTTTTTTAATGCCTGGCATGAGCTTTGCTGCAAAGTGAAATTGATACTCGGTATATGAAAACATTTAATGAATTGCCAATTCTGTTGTCAAAATCAAGCTAACAGATATTCATTGGGGAAATTTAAGGGGAGGATGTGCATTTGAACACTGCAGAAAAAAAAACATTTATGTTGATTTTTTTTTGTTTGTTTTATTCACAATTAAAAAAGCTCTTTTCAAGAATCAAAAAATACAATTAAAAAGATATACACACAAACACACACCATATTTAATAACTAGCGTCTCTATGCGTCTTTGTTTACAGAGTGCAACTCTTGCATCACCACTGGCGTATTTCAGGTCTGACTGTCTGCGCCTTTAAAGTGTTTGGGTCTGCCTCTCCTTGTGTTTCTATGATAGCACCTCTCTGCTCTCATTGGAGGCCTCCCAGATCCATCCCCTCCACCTCGCTGTTATCTGTGATCATACGCCCCCACACTATCGAGCTCAGTCAAAGACCATCCCATGGTTTGCAGTGTTAATTACAGATCCTTTGATGTGATAGAACACAGCCCTGTAGAGATTGATTACTCTTTGAGCTAAGTTGTCTTCCAATTACTTAGACAATTAGCCAACTAATTAAAATACTTACCCTGTGCGTTGAAAGAGGAAGAGGAGTGCTGCTGTGAGAATCTCCCTTGATATATGAGCTGCCAGGGATTCTCAGAGAGTCTCAGCTGAGCAGGAGAAGGCCTGGTGTGCCGGCTGCAGCTCAGGAGAAAGGCCCCAAAAACAGCCAATGCAGCAGACTGTGATCATATAGTGGATCTAGCATTTGAAGACATTTATCACTCCTTGTTTATTGAGGAAAAGGATGTTAGATGAGCGGTGACTCTATAACATTGTGAGAATGTTTCTGTCGACGTCTGACAAACTTTTTCGGTCACTTTTTTATCTCCACAGACTCCAGAGGGACACAAAATAACATAAAGAAGCTATATTCAGCTTTGAGTTCCCTTCAGACAAATAATAAGACATTTGACTAGAAGTCACCGAAGCATGACTGAATATTATTTATGTCCAAATGGTTTGTTGTTAGTCTGAAAATTGTCAGTTTGGGACTCTTTATTTCAAGAGTCAGTGGAGGAATTTGGTCAGCAGATAAAAAGAGCAGAGAAATGATTTCTGAGATTCTCAAGAGGCTGAAAATAATTTAATAGCAAACAGTTATATTGCTCCCTCTGTTATCAAAATATTGAATATGTTGTTCATTTATTCGTAGGCAGTAGCTCTACTTGGCATATTTCTGTCCCTATTTCTGTGGTTTGGAGATCACTGTGAATTATTTCTCACGGAACAAAACAAAGAGACTTAAAAAAATTGCTTTTAGTTTTCATGATTGTAACAAATGAGGCCGTCTCGCTGGTCTGTGGTAGTTTTTTACCCACAAATGTATGACCAATATACTTTTAAAATGCTATCACACACTAAGACTTTTGATCACACTGCTCATCTTTCATGGAAGTTAAAAGTGAGGGGTGAAAATTTGAACAGTGAGTGATTTTAACAGCCAAGAACAGAAACACAAATACATTTTGACCCTTTTATACGATCTAACCAGAACTGCAACAAAAAAAAAAAAAAAACATTATTATTATGATTTTTCCCTAGAAAATAAGTAAGCAAACAATCATAACAGACTATGCTGGCAAAATCAAAGTGTTTTTTAAATTTTTTTTTAACTTTTAAATTTTTTTATCTTAATGTGGTAAAACATAGTTTATAAGTTCCCTTTTTAGCAGAAAAAATCATGCTTGAGGTCTCAGAAAGGTCCAGAAACAACTCCATGATTACTGCCTGGTGGACATGACTCCATCTTTTTCAGTTTTTTTTTTTTTTTTTTTTTTTTCACATATATTTTAACACATCATCCAAAATACTGTGCTGTGAATAAACAACATCATATGTAAACTTAGATGGGACAACAGCAACAAAAACAGCACTAACTACAACAACTGCTTTTGTCTTGGAGACCTTTGGTGCTACAAGATGGAGAAACATTGGCTTTAAAACTATTATCATATTTGTAATATACTGTGTGATCAATCTTTCCTTATTGTTGCAGCACACTGAGTTTAATTTATCACCTTGGTGTGTTGAAAATCTGGTGTATGTTGCACTCAAACAATGCTAAAGATAAGTGTGTGTTTTGTCTGAATGTGCAGTGTTCTCATGTGTTGGGTGTATCATTGTTGAGACTCATCACATGATGTCTGTGATTTATTTGACTCTACACGCCCCCCATTGAACAGAGGGAAGAGTTGTTTTCTTTTCTTTTTTTTGTTTTTTGGTGCCCAGCATCTGACTGAGGCTTGTCACACTTATTGTCATGTCCCTTTAACCCCAGCTGGGCAACTCCATTATTCGCCTTCCATTGTGATGTTAATGCTGTGTTATCTGTGCAAGGGACAAATATGCAAGGGACAATGGGGATGTAGACATCCATTAAATTTATGCATCCATAATTGCTTTTGATGATGTTGATAATTATGTTGCACTCTGGAGAGTTTCTGCACAGTTATTATAGAAAAACCTTAAAACCTTTAATCTGCCGTCCAAGTAAATAATGTTTTGAGGATATTGTTAATTCACTTTGGTATCAACTTTGGAAATCACTTAGGTAATAACAAAGTCTGTGTTTTTTCTAACCACAACTAAAAATAATGCATAATCACTTTTGAATAGCTATAGTCGAGGATTCAGAGGCATGTTTTAAGTTAAATTCGTAATTTGTTTTTCAAGAATCGCATATGAGACCAAAGTTAAGGTTGATTCACACTCAATCAGAAATGCATTTTTAACAAACACAAGTACTCTGATTGTAATCTGGTGTGAATCTCCCCTGTGGTGTGTCTTTTCCTGCTGCCAGTTTCAGACTGAGAGTGTGTCTGATGGAAGTTGTTGGGGTAGGTTGGATCGAAACACCCCCTGATAAAGGGTCAACCAGTCTGAGGATCAAACTCTCCTTCCTCATCCTCTAATCACAGCCTATATAAAACAATCTTAGCACCACTTAACCTGTGCAGGGGCCCTGATATGGCTTGGCATGCTCTGTCTCTATTAATCAATCAACTTCAGGCCTTCATGAGGACTGGGATGCAAATGTGTGATATGCTGGAGCTGAAGCTTTTATTGCTCAGTGTTTTTTTGTTGTTACCGTTTAGTCCTGGTTTGTAAAAATCTTGTGACATACACAATACAGCCTAAACACAAGACTAATACAATATATTGTTCAGAAAAATACCTCTTAAATTACAAATGATGTTTATTTCATTAGTCTGACACCAAATATGACAAAATACTGAAGTTGCAGTTTGCTGAGTTAGAAGTCTGAAATGATAAAAGGTTTAGGATCACATAAGCTTGATGCCGTCTTCCACTGGAACCTTTTGGTGTCAAAATTTGTCAAATCCTCCTCTATTTCCCCAAGTTTATTGTCATTGAAGAGTGGGCAATATTATGAAAGTGACAAAACAATAAAAGGGCTAAACAATCTTTCTTTTTTAAAACTGCCACTGCATTCAAATACAGTGTAGATGTCTGGATAACTTTTTAAAATGTCTGTACTTTATCTGTCAAAGCAAGAATAAAATTAGCTCATCTGAAATGATAATAATAATAATAAAAAATAAAATAATAATAATAATAATCATGATAATGCGAACCAATTGAAATAATTAGTCAATCAAAATCTCAGAAAACTACCTGACAATGATTTTAATGGTTTGTGCAGTTTTGTGTTAAACCAAGGTAACCAGTTACCAGATTGCATGTTTTTATCTTACTATGTATCATTGACTGTGGAGCCAAAATATTTAGAGCTCCCCCTATTGTCTGGATGCAGTACGGGTCATAAATCCTGTCTAATCCATGTTAACAGATGGGAAGGGAAGGAAATGTAGACACAGATAATTTCTGTCATTGCAGTTAGTTCTTATCATGCTGATAGATGACCATGGCTTTATGAGCATTAAGATTTAACCAGTTATTTAGTTTGTTAAAGATGATGAGGATATTTAGGATTGTAAATGGATATATTTCTTTCAATCATGATTAATCCCTTAATTTCAATAATTAGTTGTGATCAATCAGATATTTAGGTGCATTTTGTCCTTGTCTGGAGTTTCAAATAGTTGCTGACACTGAAAGTACTTTGATGATGTTTTAATCTTGCTTGACATAGAGTTCATTAAACTTTTGTGTCGTCAGCTGAGTCATATCCTAAAGTGGTGTGTGATTCAGAAGTGCAGTGGAGTCCTTATTGACCATGGAAGCAGCAAAAAGCAGGACGATTCTGCAGAGGTTAACTACAGTATCAAAAGAGACCAGATTTTTAATGGGATTTAAAGGAAATATTAAGTTAATTTTAAAACTTTAAACCTAAAGCAATTGACACTTTAATGCTGCACTTTAAAAGCCCTAATAATAACAATAAAAGACTGTAACAGCTAAAGTGCTATTATAATATAACCACATTTGGGCGGCAGTAGCTCAGGAGGTAGAGCGGTCGCCCAATAACTGGAAGGTTGGCGGTTCGATTCCCCCCTATCCCAAGTCTGTTCATTGTGTCCTTGGGCAAGACACTTAACCCACCTTGCTCCCAGTGTGTGTCCTCCACTGGTGTATGATTGTGAGTGTTGTGTGGTGGTGGTCGGAGAGGCCGTAGGCACAAAATGGCAGCTACGTTTCTGTCCGTCTGCCCCAGGGCAGCTGTGACTACTAAGGTAGTTTACCACCACCAAAGTGTGACTGTGTGAGCCAATGAATAATGTATCCAATGTAAAGCGCTTTGAGGGTCTCTGATAAAGCGCTATATGAAATCTGATGCATTGTTATTATTACATCTGTGAACATTACTAAATCTATTTAAGAGAAACACTAAACTGGTTAACAGGCCAAGTCTGATAAACGATCATCGCAGTTAACTTTTAGCCACAATTAAACGTCATAATTTCATTTATTCATATGTTCACCCTGCACAGTTGTCAATAATCAGGACATTAGCAAAAGGATTTATCCTATTATTGCTCTATTTTTTTATTTTTTACAAAATAAAACAAAAGAAAAGGATAAAAATCCATCCACAACATTGGCTGGTGGATGTTAAAATAGCTTGAATGGCAGGAAAAAACATGACCATTTGTTATTAAGAATGGTGTCTATGACTTTAGCCAGGACTAAGATTATGATATGTTATGCTTCTCGTGCCATTACACCAAACAGTTTTCTTGTTTCAATAGCTTGCTTTTAGTTTCTCAGTCCTAGATGTGCGTGTAATGATACTGGGGGTCAGTTTCATTGTGAGAAACGACATACGTTCCACTTATGCTTTTTGACTCTGTAGGCCGCTTCACTGAGGCCAGTCCTTGTAATGTCCCTCCCTGCTGCTGTGTACAGTCAGGGAGCTTCATGGAATGGCTGCTCCATCTTCTGAGGGTGGCTGGGCTGCTTATGAGAGGAACATAAACTACCACGCAATATCCCATTGTCTCTGGCCACTTAGTTCCTCTCATTGTTAGAGGTTATTTTGCCCTTATGAGGGGCAGAAGGTTTCTGGTGTCAGTGGAGGGTGATTAATGACTCACTGTGGCTCCCTCCTGCTGAAAAGTGCACACTCAGTCTAGACTAAGATTTCCCCAACCTACACCTTTTCACCAAAAACACATCCATACCAGTTATTGAGGACTTTCATACCCCACTGAAACAACATCTTTTTGAACTTATTTGATTTATTTGACTAATTGATTTTGAAGTGAAAAGTCATGTTTAAATCACTCTTAATCAAGCCTTGTTAGGCAGACAAGAAAAACAGAGGATATTAAGAATCATAACACATGGTGTAACTTGAATTAAGCATTGGTAGGGAATGCTGCTTCATATGAGAAATAGAAAAACAAGGCCCTCCTTGCATAAAATGCTTAAAAATACCCCAAAACATAGAAAAGAGGGCCTCCGTTTGCATTTTGAGTGACTACCATAAGAGAAACTCATGAATAATGAAAGTGGAATCTCGCCACATTACAAAACAGGAAGAAAATGATGAATATATTTTATGTTAGAGGTGTTTCACGGGGACACCATGTCTCCCCACTATGCGGGAAACCCACCTTTGTTTCCTGACCTTTACTATCAAGCACTATTCCTGTTTCCAAATCCCTCTGAGTGCAAGAAACAACATGACTCTGCTGGGGCCTATATGACTCAAATTATATCATTTGTCCAATTTGCTATTGTTTCATCCATGTCAGGATAATTTGCTTTGGGTTTCTCTGTAATGTCTTGGGTTTTGTCTGCCCCTCTTGAGACATGTGCTATACAGTGAGTGGCCTAGATAGACTGTTTATCAAGTGCCCCTTGTTCTGTCAAGTTGACTTTCCAACCATGATGCACAGACAAAATGTACAGCTCCATTTCTTTGCTACTCCCAGGAGGAGAGAAAAAAAAAGTCTGTGACCACGGCGAGAATCTGTTTACCTGCAGCATTAATTGGGTCAGAGTTAAAAGTGTGTGGCGGAGACGGTCTCACTGAGGATAAAGACGAGGCAGTCATCATTACTCAACACCTACTGTATAATGACAGCTTCATCTCTCCCTCAGTAGCCATCCCACTCCTAATTAATCTCATCATTGCTGCTAACAGTTGGACAGTCGGCAGCTAAACAGATCCAACATATGTTCGCAGCACTTCTACCACTCTCAAACAATTTTTCTTGCAAAGCGAATCTGCTGTTATGTTTCCCCAGTTTGATTTTTCCTCGATGCATTTAATTTTCATTTCAGTCTGCATGATAGATACTCCCTTATTAATTCATTTTCAATGCTAAATTGATTAATCAAAGAATACAGGCTCTTTTTCAAGCTTCACAATTAGTGTCATATTTTGACAACCGGTGGCAGCACACTCATTAATCAACTAGTGAACTCGGTCATTTTGGCCTCCTGGGTTCAGACAGCAGTTACAGACAGCGACCACCAAACGCAGTGGACTCCCTGACAGCTCCCTCTGCCTCCTCTGGATCACAGAGACAACCCTCCTCATGATGAACAGGGAGAAATCAGTGCTCTGCCACGGATAATGTAGAAGTGTTGAAACATCATCCTCAGTAGGCTCGGTGTCATGCTTCTCCAATTAATTGCTCGCTTGCCAAATGTATCTGTGCACATTATCTTGTTCTATCTTTTGATTGCATGTGCTTAATCCTTATCATAATTGGAGTTGCACACTGCCACTGGGCCAGTCATGTCTCATACCAAATTAGGCTTAAAATTGTTTACCCAAGCTCTGATGCTGCTTTTTCTCTAGCTATGAATTTAATATTACTGAAACCAATTATCCAGATACATAAAAGATGATGAATTCAAGAAAGATATAGTGCCATCTAGTCCGAATATCTGTTGTTTTTTTCGCTATTTTTGGGCTGTCCGGTCCTTTTGCATCACTCCTTTGTCAACGATAGGACATGAGCACTTCCTGGAGCAAACAAATCAGTCTACTCAGTGATCCCTTTTGCAGAGATTAAGTGAAGCCAGGCCTCTCTGACGGTGTCTTTATCTCTGGCTGTGCTCAGAAAGAGCTAACAATGATAACCATGAAGTGTCTCCATGTGTAAAAGAGCTGCCCCTCTATTGCAATGTGAAGGTGTTGTTTTCACACAAGATGAGCAATGTTAGCACATTGTAAAGGCAGCAAAAGGTCGAACAGCTCCCAGAGTCATTAGTAAAGCTCAGAGGTGATGTATTAATTCAATAAAACATCCTTGCCCCCATACTGAGCAGTGCAGACCTCTGTGTGTTCACTTAACATACATTAAAGTGGCAAATGTTGAGTAAAAGTGGCAATCAAATTAACTAGTAAGAAAAAAAATAAATTACTTGTCCAACAAAAAGGCTTTAAAGCAACAAATTTTTCTGAATTTTAACCAAAAATATGCAGAATAAAATATTTTAATCCGTGTATGCATATGTACAGAATATGACTCACACTAAGTGTAAGTAAAATCATCTACTCGCTTAATACGCGCGAATCTAGACGCATAAATGAATAGTATTTACTCCCTTCAGTCACGTGTCAACGGTAATCCCAGCCAATTCAACCAGGGTGATCAAGTAATAGACAAATGTTTTTGACAATTTACCAGGTAATCCGACTTCCTCACTCACTTTCCTCGAGGCATTCTAGATATCAGTGAACAACTGTCCGTTTTCATATGATACCCTGCAACCTTCGTGCTGACTAGTAATCACGACACGACCATCTGCTCAAGTTGAGACATTTTCAGCCCAATTCGCGTCATTTGCGCCGCCAGAGAAGTAGGAGCGTCTAATCACGTCTTTGCATTGACTTAACATGTAATTCATTTGCACGAATGATTTTACTTGACTTTCTTAAAAGTAATGTTGATTTTAGTTTTCTCGTGTACAACTGAAATGGATTATAGGGAAGTTCATCAAAGTGTCAAAGTCAAGTTCTCAAAATTTAGTACCTCATCCATAACAATATGAAGACGGCCAATGAGACCTTGAGCCATGTCAAACCACACCTACTTAGTCCTGTTGAGGCAGGTGTAAAATCAAAACTGCTTATGTATAAAATACTCTTGGTTGACAATGAATACTGAATAGGGGAGTGAATCAGATTTAAAGCCTAATTAAAGGCCTGGCATTAATTGTTAGTATGACACTAGAGGTGTATTGTTTGGTCGTCTTTTTCTGCATGTGTTACAAGAACATGTAGTGAGTCTGAACAAATGAAATACCATTGTTATGTGTGGATAAAGCTTTGTAATTAGTATTTGTATTAACAGAAGTTTGGCCACCAGATGAACTACGATATATTAAAAAACACACACATAGCTCCTCTGAGGATTTTCAGTTTACTTTGGCACAATAAGAGCAGCACAGAAGAACAGCGATGAAGTCAAGTGAGCAGTTTTACAAGTTAAAAACTAAAAAGGCTGATAATAGTCGTGATTATATTAAAGCTTTTACTCTACAACTGAAGCCCAGCACCGGCTTTTGTCTTCCAAACTGAACTCATGCCGTTTTCATGACTTTGTCTGTTGATTATTGAGCGTACAGTTGACTTTTTCAATGATCTGGATCAATGTTATTTCGAACTGCAAATTAAAAAACCTCAGAAAAGGTTTGTGCCATAAGTCCAGCTGTTGGTCCAGTCTTAAGGCTGTATTGCAGGTTCTTGTGAAAGGTATGTCTTATCCTCTGCAGTCTCTACGGAGGCGTATTGGCAGACGCTGTTTGCTCTGTTAATTAAATTTCCTCTTTGCAGCAAATGAGGTCATATTCCACCATTGGTGTAATGTCTCTCTCATGTACAACAAAGGGAATGCACAGAGTCCAGGAATCTTTACTGAAACAATCAAGTATATCTCTTTTTTTTTTTTTGTCTGTGGATCTATATTTTTGAGGAGCACTGCCATGGCGAAAATTTGATGCCACTGCTTGTGGTTTTTATTGCTTCAATTTTACAGACAGTTGGGATTAATGTCAGTGTCTATAGCTTCCAGGAAAAAAAAATGGGCAATAATGTGGGAGCCACTTCCATTATTCTGAGGCCATACAGGATGAAATCATTTGTTCTTAACCCAGCTTGCAATATTGTTAAGATTGTAACGGTGTGCCATTTAAAATGCCGTTCATCATGATGCATGTCATATTGACTTACTTAGAGATGATCTCCAGGGTGGTTGTTTGTGCCAGAATCATTTCTCTGAGCTATAAATACGAATGTTATTTATGTTATTGGGCATATTTTGTTCAGATAAGTGTGATACTGAATGACGTATGTGTCTTATAAACCTGCACAAGTGAGAATCTTTGCATTCTGGGGCTCGGTTGACAGGCAGCAGGGTTAAAAGAGGACATTGCTGAGTGTCATGTTTGTTTACACAGGTACAAGCCATTATAACTAAATACCCAAGTAAAAGATGGGCCTTTGAAATGGGCAGAAATTGTTATTTTTCTCTAATTGGAAATGCTCACTTCCAGGGAATGAGTTGGGCTGCACAGATAAGTTAAAGTGAAGTGGCTATCCAATTAAACAGCCAAGGAAATTTCCATTTTGATATCCACTTTCTTTCTTTTGTTAAGAAACACTCAAGCTGAAATGAAATCAAAGGTTTTATTTACCTGTTCTTAGCCACCCCTATAAATCCAGGGCTGTGTCTTATGCAGATATGATGGTCATTTCCCTTAAAAACCATTATGTGTGTGTGACTGTTTTAATTACTTCAGAATTCGGCATGACCAAAACTATTTTGGAGGGCCTGAAAGCCTAAAGAAGGTCCAATTCAAAATGCTTCAGGTGTCCAAACCAAAACAATTGTATCTAATATTTTTACTGATTAAAATTTATTTTACCAATTAGAGTTTTGACTCTTAAATTGTTTTATGAAGTTTTGATAAATGTGTCTCAGTCTCCTCGTGGACTTCAGTAACTTGAGTTTTTTCTCTAATTTTGGTTGTTTATGAACATTGTGAAATGGCCAAAAGAGGCACTAAAATGTAATGACTATTATACCTTTATCTTCTGCCAATTTCAAAAGTTTGTATAGATACATATATAATTTCTAATTTACCTTTCTAACATCAGATTTATAATCTAAAGGAAAGGACAATTCATCCCCTGCTGCCTTCGTAGCTTAATACAGCCAACACCACCAACGCCAGTGAAAGGCAAGTTCATTAGTATGCATTTACATAAGAATGCTCCCATTGAAGACCACTGATGCATATGTGACTGGTGTTCAGCATCCTGCTTTATAAAACAACAAAGAGTCTGACATGAGCAACACAAATAATAAGAACAGGGACTTGGCAAGACAATGTTTATTTAGTGTTTATGAACAACATACAAAGATGCTTTGGGGCTTTAAGACTAAAAGAAGAAAGAAATATATTCTGAGACAAATCTGTGGCTTAGGAACCAGGGATTGTTTTATCTGTAGCAAAGGCAGCCGAACAAGAGGACGGTAAAGTGTATTGTATTGTATTGTATCGTATCGTATTGTATTGTATCGTATCATATTGCATTGTATCATATCGTATTGTATTGTGTTGTATCATTCCAAAGCAGATCCTGTCATATCCTAATGTATCTCAATATATTTTTGCTTATTAAATCTTATCACATCATAATGTATGGTATCACATTATACACTATCAGATGGTGTTGTATCACATTGTGTCTTAAAGCATCAAATCCCATTGTAGTGCGTCATAATATATCATATAACATGTTGTATTATTTATTATATCATATCATGTTGTGTTGCATTGTACTGAATAGTTGCATTTATCAAATCACATTGTATCTTACCATGTAGTATGTTGTATCATATTGTACCTATTCCTATTATACCTTGTTCTCTAACTCTAGCATCATTTTGCATTGAATCGTGCCATTAAATATAGTGTCTTTAAAAATTTCGGCCACTCTGCGTTTCAGGAGTCAGCACATCACAGATGAACAGAGTTTGTTAATGACAGATGATGTTCACAGTCTGGAATAAGATGTCAGGGTGTTGTAAAACCTTAATATTTTCAAGTGGACTTACAGTGGAGCTGTTTTGTGTGAAATAATAAATCTCAGGCCCTCCCAATATGCAAAACAGTAGTCTACATTTATTTGCAGTCACAGTCTCAAAAATCTTGAAGACAGGTTCTCATTATAATCTTTTAAAGGGGGAAAAAAAAACATTTTTTATATGATTTTGTTGTTGTTGTTGACAAGGTAGAACTGTCTAGGAAAACAGATTTAAAAATAACATAGAAAGTAATAGAAAGAGTAAAGCCTCTGAGAGTATTTCTCTCGTTTTCTCTTAATATCTCTAATAAAACTCTTCTTCATGACAGTTTAAAGGAAGTTAAGCTTGAATGTGAAATTTAAATGATATTTTGAAAAGTGTTCAGTTGACCCAAATGGATCCACGACTGTGTCTACATTTTAGCACTGAACAAACAGTTTTACAACATTAAGTTCCTGTATTTACTTTTGATACAGGACATCTGAAGACACTTTGACAGAAATTCAATCCAGCAGTCCTGCAATGACATGAAAAATTATGTGAATGATATGTGACAGTGACATGTCCCACTGAGAATTCAAAGAGGTCACTTAGAGATCTTTTTTCTGGTGATCAGACTCAGTATTAAAATCACTGCATTCGACAAATCTCAACCCTGTTCACTGAGCCGCCCTCGGGCTTTACGGTGGGTCTTTATTTATTTATTTGATTTTATTATGAGACATGTTCAAGCTCATGATGGGAGAACAGACCTTTTATTACTGTTATTGATATTTGTGTACAGCATAGATTTCCAGATATCCAACACAGTATTTTTTGTTTATGTCAACTTAAGTATATTTTTGACAACAGGAACACATGAACTGATCATTAAAACACATTTTGTGACCTTAAGATCGACTCACTCAGTTTTTTTGTCTTCTATTTCTTCATGTTGGCATAAAAGGGTAAAAACCTTTAGCAATACGAAAACGTCTCTCAGGGAATTACTGTTCCACCAATTCTATTTAGTTCTAATTATTTTGTTTTTATTATACACATACTAAAAGAACAATATTTCCCTAATTGAAATTAAAGATTGTATCTGGGAAAAAGCCAATCCAAATAGAGTGGGGTGAAAGGTGGGGATAATATTAGGGCCCCACAGCTGTGGAGGGACCATAAAAATCTTTGTATGGTGTATGAATTAATTAAGCAAGGCCCAGAGCAATATTCTTTCAAGGATCCCTGAATTCCTAGCTTTGGCCCTGCATGATGTATTCCTCCTTAATGAAAAAAGGGAATGGTTATGCTTTTGCAGTCCAGAAGTTACCACTCAGGGCTCTCCTAGCAGAGTTCAGTTAAATCTTTGCACTGGGTTTTTGATGCAACACTCGATTAAAATGTTATTCATTAAAACAAGATATATTTAACTGAATGAGGCTGTACTGATTTGTAAAGTAATTGATATCACTTCTTGGGATGGTGCTTTGCTGTGATATAAAAGCCCAATTTACAATTGTTTTATTGCCTGTATATGTGCTGCAGCTCCAAGGGCTGTGCAAGGGCAAACTGTGAGCCAATATCAGTGTAAATAATGTTAAATGTTGACCATCTACTTTACTGTGAACGCATCTTAAAAGCCTCTGATTTTGATTTTTTGTTTTTCCTGTGATTGATGTCCAATTGAAACTTTAATTCATAGCGTTAAAATCAATGTAAACAGCATGTTGAATGATCAGTTGTGTTGATTTTATAGTCTGAACAAGCTGTCACATCAGTGCTTAACAAATCTTAAAATAACGCATCACAAGAAGTAATGTCCCTTTATTGTAAATAAACAGATTACTAGTGATTATGTCTTTCCTCTGTTAACACAGTTTCTCTTGGGATCTATTTGTCCTGGTACTCCTCTAAAAAAAACTGTATACACTAGAGTGGCAGGGGCTGAAATGTGTTGCCTGTATGAGATGAGCAGGATTTTCAGCTGTAATGCAGGTTTTTGGTGAGGCTGACACTGGAAACACATGGAAGATTAAAGTGGCCGATAGGAAGTCTCTATTAAATTTGCATTAACACATTGTGTAAATCTGCTGATGATTGCCTCACAGAGACCCTGTGGTTCAGCGTTCCAGCCCCTGCTCCTGTACACTGGCCAGATGGCCACTTCAGAATGAGATTGACACAGTGTTTTAAACTGATTTCATGCTAACTCTCTGGAGAGGCAGACAGACCATCCGCTCTGTGGGGAATCGGGATTACAAAATAGCCAATTAAAAAGGAAAGTGGTGAAATCTTGGCCTGATAAGGTGGAGATTAAATCGGTTATAGTTTATTAGGCAAAATTACTTATTAGCAACTATTCCTCTCCAAACAGATTTCCATTACCAGCTGAAGTCCTTTTTATCTGCACTCCTTTATCTGATGGCTGCACTCTGTAATTATAAATTCTCCAAATAGC